TCCCTTTCATGGGATGTAATTAACATCTGCACTAGCCTCTGCTAGCTCTGGCTTCCAGGATCACTGAACACTCAGCCTGGGCTTTCAGCAGAAGCACTAGGCAGCACTAGGCAGCTCAAGGACTGACCCCAGGAAGGCAGACCCAGGAGTGAGTGCTCTCATGGAGGGCATCATTCCAGCACAGGACAGGGTCTCTTGGAACATTGCTCTGCTTCTTCTTTTCCTCCCCCTGTACCTTGCTCAACAATCCTTCCTGCATTTCCTTCTCAATCTTACCCACTTTGCTTTCTGTCTCTCAACTTTGTCCTCTCTCCATTTTTTTTTCCTTTTGTTCTTCTCATGGTGATTTCTTCCCTAATAGAGAGGCATTTAAAACATATTATAAAATATTTATTTTGCTACCTTAATAAGTTTTGTGTGTATATATGCAGCAGCTTAATGATCTGTCCACAAAGTCTTTGATTCTGCTCCTCTCAAATGGTGGACCCTGTTTCCTTCCCCAGTTTGTGTTGGCTGGATTCAGTGACTTGCTTCTAAGTAATAAAAAAAGAAGTAGAAGTGACAGTCCACAAATTCAGGAACTGGCTCATAAAAGGCAACAAGGCCTCCTGCTTCCCTTTGGCCCTTGCTCTTTTTGGAATCACTTGCTTTGGGCTGAGCCAGCTGCAGTGTGGAGCAGATCTATAGAAAGGCCTACATGTGTTCCTAAAACAACTGGTGAGGGAATGTGACCTCCAGCCAATAGTCATGGGGGTGAATCTTGTAGAAGTGGACCATCACTCCAGTCAATCCTTCAGGTGACAACAACCCCAGCTGTTATCTCAACCACAGTGTCATAAAACCCTGGGCAAGATGTACCAGCTAAGTCACAATTGACTTTCTGACCCTCAGACACTGAAAGATAATTAAGGTTGATTTAACCAAGAAAAAGAATGTGTGTGTGTGTGTGTGTGTGTGTGTGTATAAAATCAGGTGATAGATATATAGACAAACAGATAGGTAGACAGACACACAACCATGGTTGAAACTGAGAGCCAAAACTCACCTCTTCCACCAGTTATAAAAGCTACTTCTTTGGAGCCCACACCAATGACTCTTTTCCTTTGGGTGTTCCCTCACTTGCCTGATGTCCTTTGCACAGTCCTGTGCCTCAGTGCTGTCCCGCCCCCTCCCCATGTTGACTTGAGATCTGAGGACATCTTGATTCTGATTCTCCCATCCTTCATCCAGCTAGAGAGAGGATCTCCCATGACTCGAAAGTCAAACTGAAATATCAGTGTGTCCTTTTCTTGTGTCTAGTACAGTAACAATCAAGCTCTTTGTGTGCTAAGAAAAAGAATTTTTATTAACCATTTTGTAATATGATGGTCAACGAGTCTTGTGGGATGAGGGCAGGAAAGATAGAGACAGGCAGCCTTGGTTGCATTGTGAGCCTTTTAAATCCTGGTATCATCTGACCAGCACAAAGCCCTTGCATCTACAGTCCCCACACCACACATACACCTTAGCTCAGTCTAGGAAAAATCACTCCAGACCAGATTTCAAATTCTTCCCTGGGATATTGTGTGTTTCTATCTCAGTAATGAGATGGTGGACAGAACCACTTCTGTGTCCTTGATGCTTTTTGTCACAAGACTATCCTGCAGAAGGGTTCTAGGTTGTGACATCTTACCAGGAAAGAGGTGATACTCACTGACCATTTTGAAATCAATTTCCTAGAAATGCTTCACCTTAAAAAGAGAATAACAATGTTTCAATGACCTAAATAAAAATGGGTATTAGTATAGACATATCCTAGGACAGGCAAAATATGCAGCTCTGAAAGCAGGAAGTTTGCCCGAACTTGATGCTTGATGAAAATGGCCCTGAATCAGGCAGGAACACTTGACTGGGGGCGGGGGGGGGGGGGGGGGGTGGCATGGAGCAGAGCAGTGCTGAGGGGACATTAATGAGTGAGACAACACACAGTCTCCTCACCGCATGCATGCCTGAGCATAGAGATGCCTACAAGCAATAATCTGAAGAAGATACTATTTGAGAATGTACATTTGCCTGAGTAAAAGTCAGAGCTCACACCATGTCCAGCCATGTCTTCTTGTCCATGGGCATCTGCCAGAGCAACAGCATAGCTCTGTGCCCTGACCTCAAAGGCCCTGGGACAGACTTTAGTCTCAAGCTTCACCACCAGGGAGATGGAAATGCCTCCAGGACCACTGATGGTCAACATACAGTGACAGCATCCAGAACCCTGGGCATGTTCGGAGGGCAAGCTTGATCTGAACATGAATCTCCAACACCATGAGTTGGTAGGGTCGCCCTCCATTCCCTGGAATCACCTGAAAGCCAAGCTTGTTGGCAACCATTCCTAGGAATGATTAATAAGCCTGCAGCCGGGAGGCATGTGGGACATGAGAACAAATTAGCTGTGTTGGTTATCAAATGGTCGGCACAAATACACCATGATATGCTCTGTGGCCTCTTCCCCACCTGCCAGGGCAATGTTAGACACTTCCTTCAGCTTTCCCAGAAAGTCAGGGCCAGGACACAGCCTGGGCACAGTAAATACAAGACTGAACACAAAGTAGCAGTGAAGTGGAGAACAGCAGCCCAGGCTTCTCCCACACGGAACAAAGGAAGGAGGAAGGGGGCTGGAGCTGGGATGGAGGGCTGTCCAGTGACGCACACAGGGACCTACCACAGCTGCCTGCAGTCCCTGCCCTGTGTGGGAGCCTCAGCACGACTTACCCACATTCCTGAAGAAAATAATACCTCCATGACAGGGAAACATATATGACAGCATAAAGGTGTAGCATCACTTTGAAGGGGGAAAATTAGCACCAAGTGACCCATACCAAGGCTAGAGGGGTTTCCAGGATGGGTGAACAGGTACAGAGCATTTCTGGAAAGCGGAGTGATTGAAATTGGGACTTATTGGAAGATAAAGCAATTCCTTAGGGTCTGGAGAAGCCAATGTAGCTTATCATAAATATAAGAATTAAAAACAATTTTTAAGAACAATTATGTTGGACATTTACACAATGTAAATTTAAAATTCTCTGAAAAACAATCTGAAGGGTTTGAAGAGGTGGGGGGGTGGGAGGTTGGGGGAACCAAGTGGTGGGTATTAGAGAGGGCACGGATTGCATGGAGCACTGGGTGTGGTACAAAAACAATGAATACTGTTATGCTGAAAATAAATTTAAAAAAATGATTATAAAAAAAATTCTTGAGAAATGAAACAATATAGAAGCAATTTAATAGCTGGAAACTTTGCTTACAAAGAAGGAATAATGAAGTATAAAAATAAATACATAGACTAGAAATACACAATATAACACCACAATAGCTGAAAATAGAAAAATAATGAATTAATCAATTCTCAGACATTCATTAAATGTGAGACTGAGTTTTTAGTGGCACCATTCCTAGGAGGACACCAGCTCTAAGGGCCTCTGTGCAGTGAGGACAGCCTGTCAGCTTCAAAGCAGCCTTCTCTCTGCCTATAGGGCCATCTGGTCACTGGTGCCCAGGGGTCTGCCAACCCTGCACCAGGCATAGATTTCCAACCCTTTCCCTGATCCAGTGTGGCCCCCACAAACCATCCTCAGACCCAGCTCGCACCCTTCCATTTGAGTGACTTCTCCTGGTGATTCAACCCCTGACACCCAGGGACTCACTCTGAAGTGTGCTCCCCAACATGTGGTCCAGACACCAGGACTATCAGCATCCCCTGGGATGAGGTGAAGCAACTGGAAACAGGCAAACTTGCCAGGCCTGCGAGACTGACTGGGTCAGAGTCCTGGCTGAGGGAAAGGCCCAGGGCTCTGGGTGTCCACAGGCCTTTCAGGGCATTCTGGTCTCCCTGAGTGCACAAGTAGCAGCATACAAATACTGAAGCCTTTCACAGGCACAGAGCTGAAGACTTGTTTGGAAAGATGTGCTCCTTAGTCCTTCCAGAGCCCCATCTGCTGCTCCACATGGACATGGTGAGAGTCCCTCTCTAGAACCCAGACTCTGCACACAGGAAATTGTGTCCACTGAGCCTTGAGGACCTTCACCACAAGAGGGCACTGATGCTCACCCAATGGTCACAGCTCAACCATCCCTGGGAGCTCACTGGCTTTGCTCTGTGTCTTCTTCTCCCTCATTCCACCCTGTCTCTTCTAGAGCAAATTCTAGAGCAAAGGGATCTATAGACCCAGTGTGTGTCAAGGGTCACCCCTGCTGCAACACCTTTGGAGAGCTTGTGCTTACATCATCCTGCCAGGCCCCAGACTGAGCAAGTGGCAGCACATCCAGGGGCTGAGGAGTGCAAAAGGAGATGCAGTGAGCTCAGCTGGAAGCTCCTGGTTCCAAGACCCTGAATTTCCCTTTCCTGGCATCACCCCAAGGGCCAGTGAGCCTTCTCTGCTCCACTACTCAAGGGGGACTGGGGAGCTGAGAGGGACAGAGACACTTGGACTCATCAAGACCTCAATGCTCCTTCTTTCCAAAGATACCAGTTTTCTCTGTGTAACTTACCTCTGTCTCCCCCCAACTTGTCTCTCAGTCACTCATCCTTTTTGGCTCTGTCCTTATCTCAAAGGTCCTCACCCTGAGATAAGGACCTCACTGCTCTGCCGTGGGGTCAACCTTCCACTTCCATGTCTTGCTCTTGTATCCTTGTTTCAGCCTTGGATTCTGGGGCATCCAAATGAAGTCCCTCCCCACTGAGGAGCTGAGAGGGATGTTATGGCTGGGGCTAGGCTACAGGGGACGCCTCCCTCCCATTGCTGGTTCTTTCCAACTCACCCTGCCTGGGCTTGTTAGACAGGAAGCAATTATGCCACTTGGAATGGGAGGCGGGGTGACATGTGGGAAAGGACAGTGTGTAATAGCAGAGAGGATATCCAGAGGGAGGAATTGTTCTGAAGCTGATGGACTGGACCAATGCCCAGGGAGGCTTGGAGGGAGCTTGAGCTACAAGAAAAAAGGCAGTGGGTCTCCGGATTTCTGTAGCCATGCTGCACTTGTTGTTCAGGTGGGCTCTGCCCCGGGCCATGCTCCTGCTACTGCTAGGTTCCCAGCTCCTAGTGACTCCTGGGTCAAGATCTGAAGAGGAAGCAGAGAATAAATACCAAAATGCCATGCGAAGCTACTTCCTTGGTACAGTGGAGTATGCCTTACATATCTTCAACTTGCAAAGCAATGACACAAGGGCCTACAGGCTGGTGCGCATCCTGAATTCCAGGAGGGAGCTGGTAGGTACCACGTCCTAACCTGATGATCTACATGTGTTATGAAGTCAAGATCAGGAGTAGGAGTCCTATCTAGTTATCTTGTTCTGCAGTCCATAAAATAGAGCAAAAATGCAAACTATGCAGTTAGTTTGTTTTATGAAAGAATTTAAAAATTTAAATACCTACATCCATGTCTACTGCATGTAAGATGTTCCAATTTTCATCATTTTATGAAGTTACTTATTAATGACCAAAATACAGACTATGAGGCAATTAATATCTTCAATGAGGAAAAGAAAAGACAGAAAGGAGGAGGAGGAGGAGGAGATAGATTGAGAAAATGTCAGAGGAGATGGATTGAGGAAATATTCTAGCAAAACAAATGAAACAGAAACAGAGACAAATGCTGAGAGGGAGGGAGGAAGATGGCTCTGGGGATCAGGGCAATAAGGATTCTCCCTCATCCAGAGCAGCAGCTGTGACTTCAAGGCCTCTTCTCTGGGCTCTTCCCTGAGGAGGGAGGATGCTACCTACGGGGAGTAATGCTATTCTACACTCTTCCCAGACCATGGTTCTCAATCCTAGAGCATTGTCCTTGTAGTGGATTGTCTGCAGAATGCAGCCAGGACAGCTGTTTGCCTGTGGGCTACATCAGGAGCATGTACAGTCATGTGTGTGTATGTGTGGCAGGTGTAGGTGTGGGTGTGAGTGTTTTATTGAGTGTGTATATGGGTAAGTATGAGTTTTTGAATGATTGTGTATACCTTTGTGTATCTGTGTGTGTAGGTGTGGGTGAGAGTAGCATGAGTATGTCACTGAGTGTGTGTAGTATGTGTGCAAGCATGTGTGTGTGTGCCTGCACACATGTTAGGACCCCAGGCATTCCTCTCTCCCTCTGGACTTGTCTGTATATAAGTGTGGGTTTCAGAAGTTCAAAGTGTGTGTGTGTGTGTGTGTGTGTGTGTGTGTCCATGTATGACAGTGTGTCACTGAGTGTAAAAGTAGGAGTGTGTCTGTGTCTCTGCGACTGTGTGTGTGCATGTACACAGGTGCTGGGGGCCCAGGGCATTCCTCTGTCCATCTGGACCTCTGCCCTGAGAGCCTGAGGAAAGGGAGGTGGGAACTCCACCCTGCACAGAACTCCAGCTGTGAACACTGCTGGGTCAGGTCCCATCTGGTTCTGCTACCTGAGCTCTCTCAGTCTGAACCTCTGCTCTGGGCTTCCTAGATCTGTACTCACAGATGTGTTCCAGGCTCCCTAGATCTACACTCATACTGAGTTAGGGTGTGGAAAGTAATGGAGAGTGGAATGGGAGATATGGAATGGAATGAATTGGTTGGAGAAGAGTGCAGAAGGAATAAAGAAAATTCCAGCTTTACTTTGTAATTGGACAAGAGATATCTGGAAGCCATAGTTGGGGGGTGCAGTGAGGGTCATGTGCAAAAGCGGGCACTCGTGGTCTCATGTGAGTGTTCACTGCACTGCAGGCAAATATCCTATTGTCAGGCAAGTGAAAGTGGTGACGATGCAGCTGTAGAAGAGACTCCCACTCTGGAGCTGAAATTACTGAGCAGACTCTTGCAGAGCCAACACCCTCCCAGGCATTCAGCACCTGACCCCTGGGAGTGTTGTAGCTTCAGAAACATGCTGGAAGTCAGGCTGGCTCTCCCTGGAGCATTTGGGGACATGGGGCTGTAGGGTGTGATGTATGAATGGTGTGTGACCAGGCCTGCATCTACCTTGAGTTTCACAGAAAACTCAGTTCCCTTTAATTGAATTCCCCATGCTTGGCTTTACCCCCAGCAAGCTGACCCAGGTCCAGAGGCAGTGTTTGGGGCTATCCCCACATTACATAGTTCTACGCTAGCAGCTGCGCAAGGGAACCAGGAGGTAGATTAATGTCAATGTCTATTGCAGTCATTGGAGAAGAACACTATGGCGTTCTCCATGGAGCTGCAGCTTAGAAGAACAAGATGTGGAAAATTTGACGACGACATTGACAACTGTCCCTTTCAAGAAAGTTCAGGGCAGAACAACGTAAGACGTGCAGAGGTCCTTCGGGTCACACAACTGAGGATGCAGTTTCGGGCAGAGGGGAAAGTAGGGCAGATGACAGAGCCATTCCTAGGGACGTAGAAAATAGAAATGCAGGCACTGCTATCCCTACCACTGGTGTTGCAGTTGGAGCCCAGCTGGACAGCCCATCCTTGGAGTCTTCTTATAGCCCCCCTGGCCAATCTGGGAACCACCTTTGCACACTCACCCATTCCATTTGCTAAGCCCTTGAGCCACAGTGATGACAGATTTCTCCTGGCCACAAGCGTCCATGTCTCCTGGGAAACATGGATGTCCCTTCTCTTGACATGCCTTCCCTACAGAATTCAGGGGGAGAATATTGAGACAGGCAACATGGCCTTTGCCACACTGGTTTTCTCAGGTTGCCCTGAGAAAAGAGCCCATGGTGTGGAAATTGAGGAGGGGACCACGGCCCTCCTTCTCAGGCCCTGACAAGATTCCATGGACTATGAGCTGATGGTCCAGGAAGAATGGTCAAAGTGAACCCCAGCTCTGGGACCAAGCCACCTAGGGGGGAGTCCTTTAAAGAGCACGCCTGGGAGAAACTACCACAATGCTATGCTAGGGCCATGGGTCACATGGGTTCAACCTAAGTGCTTTATGGAGACCACAGGACTAAGGATGAGAATGATACAGGGGTCCTTGTGGTCAGGACAAAGTCCTGAGTTCAGAACAAGCAGGGCTTAGGTGGAACTGTGGCTGAAGACCACAGCCTGCATTCTCAGCTGCTCACCCCAGTATGGGTGTTTGGGATGTGTGCTATGTTTAAAGCAGGAGTCACTGCTTCCAATCATTCTCCACCCACCTTGCATCCCTGTGCTTACCCTCAGATCATCACCTGCTTCTTCATCATCAGCACTGAGCCCTGGAATACAGAGTTCGAACTCTGGAACAAGACCTGCTTGGAGGGGCACCTGCATGGCTCAGTTGGCTAAGCATCTGCCTCAGTCTCTGGTCATGATCCCAGGGTCCTGGGATCAAGCCCTATGTTGGGCTCCCTGATCAGCAGGGAGTCTGCTTCTCCCTCTCTTTCTGCCTGCTGCTCCCCCTGCCTGTGCTCTCTCTGTGTCAAAAAAAAAAAAAAATACTTAAAAAATATAAAAAAGACCTGCTTGGATGGCACCCACTGATGAGATATCAACACACCTGGCTCTGGATGTTCTTCTGAACACCAGTGATGTCCTGTAGGTATCCCTTCAGTGGCTGAGCAGCTCCAAGGTATGTTCTCTTTATTTGCAAATATTTGGTGTCTCATCTGGGCATTGTGAAAATTCTTCCTGCTCTTTTTCTTTATGTAAAAAAGATCATTAAACATTAGCATTTCAAGAAACTTGTGAGGCATGGTTCCAGACAGAGGGGCTGGGCACATGAAGGGCTCATCCTAAAAGGGCAGTAGAGTGGGCCCAGGGTTCTCTTCCCTCTCAGACCTCCAAAGTCATCTCCACATAGCACAACCTGGAAGTACAGGTGCCTCTGAGCTGCTGCCTTGGGGCTCAGGAGGAATGACCTGCTCCCTAGAGGCTCAATGACCATGACCCAGCAGAAAACCCAAAGTGCAGGATGGACCTATACAGGCACTCAGGCCCTTAGGGCACATGAGGTCCCCATCTTGGGGGCTTGCTCATACCCATTGCCTGGTCCAATAGCTGTGAGGATGTGGGAGCAACATAGCCTCCACACACAGAGTGGTCCAACCACCACCAGCAGCAGCAGCAAGTCCTGGACCCTCAGAAATATTCCATTAAGGCCTCCTCACCTTTGGACCAGGAGGATGCATTTTCATGAATCCAGGAGACCCACAGACCATTAAATTTTGAGTGACACTGCTCTACCAAATGCTATGACACTCTGCCTCAGTCTCCTGGGTGCAGATTTCTGCTGTCCATGAGGGTCTGGGTCTCCAGGGACTGAGAGAAGATGACCCTTCTCTGAGCTTTATCCACCTCCCTTCCTGTCTTCAGGAGAAGGGCCATGTCAGGATGGACATCATCTTTGTTTCTATGGCTCTTTTTGAGGTTTTCCTGGCTTTGTTGAGAGCCTCAAGTTGTGTGGGTTGAAGAGCAGGCCACTGCCCTCCCTCTCATGCCCTTACTGATGTATAAGCTGTTGCTCCAAGGAAAAGCCAAGGTGAGCCCCAACTCTGGGCTACCCCACCTAGGGTGAGGGGTTCCTCTGAGAAAGCACCCCCTGGGAGAGAGTACCCCAGTGCTGTACTAGGGCATGAGTCACATTGGGTCAGCCAGAATGTTGTCCTGGAAATCACAGGGTTAAGGATGGGGAATTGGCACAGGATGCCCCGAGGTCAGGACAAGGTCCCAGGTCTAGAACAAGTGGGACTCAGGTGGGGCTGCAGCTGAGGACCACAGCCTGCATCCCCAGCTGCTTACCCCAGGATGGGTGGTTGGGATGTGTGCTGTGTTTGAAGCTGGATCGTTTCTCACTGCTCTCCACCCACCATCCATCCCTGTGCTTGTCCCCTCAGACTTTCACCTACCTGCTTCTTCACCATTGGTACTGTGCCCTGGAGAACAGTTTTCTATCTCCTGTACAAGACATGCTTGGAAGGCTTCCACTGAGTGACACCATACCCAGCCTACCTCTGACTGTTTTCCTCCTGGATCCAGTGGTTCTCTGTATGTGTCCCTTCAGTGGCTGCACAACACCATTCTCTATTTGTTCTCTTGCAAGTGTCTGGGTCTTACTCCTAGGCATTATGGAAATTCTTCATTTCCATTTCATCCTGTAGAATAGAACAATTAAAATCAGAATTTCAACATTGCCTTCTTAGCACAGTGGGCAGCACATCGGTCTCATAAAATCAACATTTCAAGAAGCTTTATGTGGCATTGGTTCCGGACAGAGGGATGGGTAAAGGAAGGACTTATCCTAGTATGGAAGTCAGGTGGGCCCAGGATGGATTCTCTTCCTTCTCAGACCTCCAGAGTCACTTCCCCGTGGCACAACCTGGAAGCACAGGTGCTGCTGTTTCTGGGCTCAGAGGTACGATGACCATGACCCAGGAGGGTACTCAAAATGCAAAGTATACCCAGACGGGCCATCACGGACACATATGGCCTTGGTCTTGGGAATCTTCTAAAAGAGGATGTGGCAAACTTTTTCTGAATGTAAGTGTAACTCTTTTGGCCTTTTTGGGCACTATGACCTGTTCTCAACTCCCTGGTGTTGCCTTGAAAGTACCAATACAAGTAAGAATGTTGTATTCCTATCAGACTATATTTATACGTACAGGCAGGGGCAGAACTTGGTCCTGGGGCTGTGGTTTCCTCTTCTAACCAGCCATCCCTCCAGTGCCCATGAAGTTGGACCACCCAGTACCTGACACTTCCAATTCTACCTGAAGATCTGCATCTTCCCCAGGTTCTGCTCAGGGATTTCTCTGTGCACATAGCCCTCCATCTGCAAAACCAGCACACCTCAGTGGAGAGGGTAGGGCCCAAGGACAGCACTCCAATCCCAGGTAGGATGGCTATAGGCTCCCAGCTCCACAGAGGCTGTCAGAGGGAAGATCCACAGGGTTCTCACACATTCCAGCAGGACAACACCCATGGCTGCTCAGTGACCCATAACAACAGCCACACTGAGCCTTTTTCTTCTGTCTCCCTTCCCCCTCTGTGCTTTTGTGACCATCTCCCAAATGAACTACCTGCACCACACAATTTGTACCTAAGAGTATCCCTGGGGACTGCATCTCAGTGTCTCCCTGGGGACTCACATCAGACATGTGGTGTAAGATATCTTCAGAGCTCATCATCCATAGAGACCTCGATGGGCTTCCCAGGATTCCAGGCAGAGCCGTGGGAAGATGCTGGCAGTGGGTATCCTCCCTGCCAGCCGAGCATCACTAACCATGGACATAGCTGTGCTCTTGTCCCACAGTCATTCTGCCTGGTCCCAGACTTCAGTAGATTTCTAAAGACCCTCCAACCAACCACTCTCCTGTCTACTCCCATGCTGGTCTGTCCTGAGTTGTACCTCAATCTGCAGAAGGAAGCATAAAGAGGGCTCTTTATCCACTGTAATCCCAGCATGTTTTCCATAGTCAACCCCACTAATTCTACTGAAGTCCCATCAGGTAACTCCAGGAGAGGGTCTCCTGTGTGTTCAGTCCAATGGTGGGGGGTGGGGGCTGTCCAGACCCTTTCTGGGCTCACCTTATCTCCTGGGGCTGGAGAAGCAGGGTCCACAAGGCAGGTATCAAATCATGGCTCCTGGTAAGGACTCACTAAATCCTGCCTCAGATCACACTTGTGGGGCTTTGTTAATGTTTCTACCCTCTCCCCCTCCCATGGGAATCTATACAAATTCGGGTTCTGGGCGGCACCTGGGTGACTCAGTCGGTTGAGTGTTTGCCTTCAGCTCAGGTCATGATCCCAGGGTCCTGGGATCAAGCCCCATGTTGTGTTCCCTGCTCAGTGGGGAGCCTGCTTCTCCCTCTGCCTGCAGCTCCCCCTGCTTGTGATATTTCTCTCCACACCCCCACACAAATGATAAACAGAATCTCTAAAAATAAAAAAAATAAAATAAAAAAAGTAGAAGAAAAAGAAAGTGGGAGTTTTGTTCCAGTCCCCACTGTGTCTCCAGGGCCCTGAAGGTGAGTACAAGTTCCAGGGGCTCCAGCTTTGTAACAGGTGTAGGATTCAGGAACCTTGCCCTGCCTATCCTTGTTGGCTTGGGATGGTCCTGCCTGCTTCTTTCCTGGAGTCCATATGTTGAAGGAGCAGGGAAGCAGGTTTCTGAATCCTCAGTGTCACCTGAGGTAGGACCCTGGGTAAAGCCCTGACAGAGCAGAGGTAAAAGCAGGGGGTTACTAGAGACAAGGCTAGCTGCCTGGTCAGGCCCAAGTTCCCAGAGAGAAAAAGAGGCCCAGCCAGTGGCTCAGTCTCAGGAGAGCTCCCTCTTCCCCCAACATGTGAGTCTAGTGTTGACACCGCTGCCCTAGTCCTGACCTGTTAGCCTCAGTCTCCAGGTCAAGGCCTGCAACTGGGAAAATAGCTATGCTGGTTATCAAACACTCTGTGGCCACTTCTTCATCTATCAGGAGACAATGGACACTTCCCTAAACTTTCCCAAGGTGTCAGAGTCATGGTATAGCCTGGGCTCAGGACTGAACACAAAGTAACAATGAAGTTACTCCTATGGAGGCCAGAGGAAGGAGAAAGGGATCTGGGACCTGGGCAAGTGGGAGATGGAAAATGACATATGTGCAGAGCTATCTCAGCAGCCTGCAGTCCTTGCCCTGTGTGTGAGCCTCAGCATGACCCCATTCCAGATAACCACTCTGGTCCCTGATGCTCCAACTTCCCTCAGATCCTAATACCTGTCATGGGATGCAGACCTGGATTTCTCCCTGGCCCTGGTGTAGTCCAGGAAGGGAGCATGTCTTGCTTAGAAGCTACACTTTTGAGTCTTTTTTTCAAAATTTCTCATGACCAAAGGGAAAATGAGGACAGACCAAGGCAATGCTTCTGTCATCCATGTATCTTCTAAAGAGCACAATTTCTGCGGAAGAGGGTGGGGGCAGGATAACTTCTAGTAGGCAGCTGATCCCCCAGGTGGCCCAAGCTACAGGCTTGGGCCCAATGAGACTTTGAACTTTGGAAGGAAATGGGCCAATACTGAAGATACCTCAGAGGCTATACATCCACACATTCCAGTCCTCTTCAGGCTCACGTATGACACTGCCAACAGTGGGCAAATAAAAACTCAAAAATCTGGGGCACCTGTGTGACTCAGTCGGTTAAGCATCTGCAGTTACTCATCTGTCTTTGGCTCAGGTCATGATCTCAGGGTCCTGGAATTGAGCCCCACATAGGGCTCCCTCTCCTTCTATGCCCTGCTTCTCCCTCTCCTTCTACTCCCTGCTTGTGCTCTCCCTCTCTCCCCTAATAAATAAATAAAACCTTAGAAAAACTCATTAGTCAATGTAACTGTTTTGATACCGATTCTTCATTCTGACTAACTCAGTGCCTCAGAAGGGCCCAGACAGCTTTGGAGAATTAAACACAAAGCAGTATCCCACTAGTACTAGATAGCTGACTTTGGGTGTGGTCAGTAACATTTAGTTTGCCCCAGATGCTTGTAGCTATTATGGATAAGATGGAAACAAACAGCCTAGGGTGTCTGAATGTGTTAGATCCCTCCAGGTGTGGAACGACATTGTCAGTGTTCAAAGGAGAATGCCCCGCTCTAGAGGCCGTTCATGGGACCAGATGGGGCTGGCCAACTCCAACTACAGAACAAGAGATCAAAGGCTTTGGCAGTGGTTGGGGGCTGAAAGGCAGAGGTGGGCAAAGAAGTGAAAGCTACAGGTGCTGCAGGCATAGGGATCCCCATCCCAAGGTGGGAGGAGCAATGTGACAAGAACTGCTCTGCCTGTGTCCCTAGAACTCCATGACCACATGGAGGAGGGAGGTTTGGGCATGCCGTCCCCAGAACATTGTTGTTGGCTGAGGTGACAAAATGTAATTGTGTCCTATTGACTGACCCCCACAAGGGATGCCCCCACGTGGTCCCAGGCTGCCCTTCATAGTAGACCTGGGCTCCACTATGAGGTGGCTTTCTCCAGAAACTTACCTTGAGACAGTAATTCAAGTGCAAGTGGTTTATGCAGAGGTGATTGTAGAAAATACCAGAAGGACAGTGAGGAAGTAGGAATGGGAAGCAGCCTATGAGAGTGAGCAAACTAACAATATGGGAAATTAGGGCTTCTTCTTGGACACATTTCAGAAACTAGACAGGACATGTCTCAGTTTTACCTCCCAAGGGTCAAGAGACTGGGGCATTCCCTCCCAGCACTCTAGCCACCTCTCATAGGTGAAGAGAAAGTCTTCAAGCAGAGAGGCTCAGGTACAGGGAGAGGTTACTTATTAGCCAGGTGACCTCTGAGTTTTACCATCACATAGGATGTCCCTGTGCTACTGCTGACACTGTGCTGGCTGGCCTTGACCTGCACATCAGTGCTGTAGTTTCCATACCCAAGTTTCAGAAAGTGCCTCTTTCTGCTCATGTTAACCATCTTCATCATCTTATCCCCCCTTCTGCATACATATATGCACACAAACATATACACGTGTGCACACACACACAGTGGTAGCCACCCTCCCAGATGGCATCCATTGGTCCTCATCTCCTGGTCATCATACCCTTATAAAGTCCCCTCCCACACTGAACCAGAGCTATTGGGACCAATAACACAAGGAAGAGGTGATGGTGTGTGACATCTGAAGGTAGGTCACAAAGGGCAGTATGGCTTCCATCTTAGTCTCTCAGAACATTCTATCTGGAGGAAGCTATACCAAGCACACAGTGGCTCTGTGGAGAGGCCCACATGGAGAACAGAGATCTCCTGTCAATGGCCAACACCAACTTGCAGTCTTTAGTGTGAGCCACTTGGGAAGTGGATTCTCCAGAGCCAAACTATCCCTCTGACGAAGACAGTGCAGTCAATGTCTGAGTATAACCTCAAGGGACAATGACATCTGGAACCACCCCACCAAGACTCCTTCAGATCCCTGATCCACAGACACCATGGGAGATATAAATTGCTTAAGCCATTAAGGGCAGAAGGATTAGTTATGCAGTATTAGATAACTAATGCATCCCACTGTGCACACATGCACACACATTCATGCACAAAGCAGCCTACTATCCATGAGCCATCAATCACCCTTGCATTTTTTCTGCTTCACTTCAAAACCAAAAGTGCACTCCAGATCCACACATGACCCAACTATCTTCCATTTGGACCAGCTGTCTAAAATTGTTTCTAAGCCAATAGGCTGTGTCTTCCCTGGAGTCCCAGGCAGGGAGATTTTGATGGAAATCCAGGTAAGGAACACTCTCAAGGGAGCTAGACCCTCAGAATCTTGCCAACACAACTCAACAGCTCAAAACAGTGGAGGACTGGGTCCTCCAGTTAGTTCTCTAGAACAGCTGCCAGTGAAAAGTAATTTGTGCTTAGAGTTCAATGAGATATGGAAACAGGTTTACACTCTCTTCCATCTACTGGTAGCAGATTGTCCTGCTAATAAATGAATGGGTCAACTAGAAGAGGCTGACAACACAGTAAAAAGGCATCATGTTCTCAGTATCAGCCCCTGAAGTGCATACAAAAAAGCACAAAAGCCACAAAAGTGAAGTCAGTGGGTCAGCTTATTTAAATGTTTTGCAAGTGTATTTGCTTCTTTAAAATGGAAGTGAAAGCAGTGGAATATGCTAGAAGGTAATTAGACCTCTTCACATTGTTTCTTCAGCGTAGTGAATTCAAATTTCCAAGGTTTTGTTGCAACAATAAAGTTGCAAAGAAACATCTAAAAGAGACAAAAAAGAATAATCAGTTTGTAAGAAAGAAAAATGAAAAACAAACAGAAGTTTCTATTTCTAGGTGCCAGAATTTGGCTTCAGGGTGGCTAAAGGCAGCCTGAGCCAGCCATGCCCCTGCAGTTCCTGGAGCCCTTTGACCTGAGACTGGATGGCAGAGAAGCCAGTCTCACTCACCAGGATGGACCCCTGCCAATTCACCTGTGATCTGAAGTCATTGTGGATGGTAGGAGCCCAGAAACTGGTTATTCTCAGAAATGCTCATCTCCAGCTCTGGCCCCCATCCAGCCACTGACTCCCCTGCAAGCCTACTAAGACTGCATTCTGCCCCGAGGGCCAAGGGATTCCTTCCCAGAAGAGGCAAGAATAGTACAGGTTCCTGAATGTCTTGGTGGGGCAGGGCAAGCTCTGGCCAGAGACTAGAAGCAAAACTTGCAACCAGGGAACTGAGGGAACATATAGAGCTCTTTCCCAGGGCCTGAAGATGAGCATGGTTTCAGGCTCCTGGTATGGGATGAGTTCACTTATATCCCTATTCTCACTCCTAAAGATTTTTTTCAGTTAGAATAAAAATGTAAATGAGGAATATCTCCACTACATCAATGGAAGCATGAAGGGAAACATCAAACAGAATTGGAGTTGTGTAAGATACAAATACAGAGGGATCAGCCTGAGGAAGAAAATAAGACCAAGCTACTAGCAATCCAGACAGGCCACTGGAGAACTAAGGCCAGTCCAGAGATTCATTCTGGCTAGAGGGGTGTCTGGCAAAGGTTCAGGTGTTTCTTGGCAATAGTAGGAAGGGAAGGGAGTGGGCTTATCAGAGGGTAGACTAATTGCTTAACTTCTGGATCAGCCAAAGTAGACAGGAAACAATCAGGAAACAGAGGAATTGAAAACCCAATTATCAGGATCAATCCTGGAGGACATGTGAACAATGTATATTAAAAATCTTTAAGAAGTGAAAAAATATTGAGTGATTCAACTTCCAGGAACTTTGCCTACAAGGAAACAATAATCACACAAATAGAAACAAAGAACAATATTTATTAAAGCACTGCTCATAATAACTAAAAGTTAGGAAAACTTAACCAATTCTCAGGGATGGACTAAAGTTAAATGTGGAACACAATTAAATGAAATCATAGTTTCACTATATAGTGCTCTCACATAATTTTGCAGTTGAGAAATTCTTAAAATTTATTATTAAATGAAAATCTAGGTTAGGCAATAGTATTGAGTATGATTTCAACAACACAAATATACAAATATAAAATATAGAAAAGTTAGGAGGAGTCAAGATGGCGGAGAAGTAGCAGGCTGAGACTACTTCAGGTAGCGGGAGATCAGCTAGATAGCTTATCTAAAGATTGCAAACACCTACAAATCCAATGGGAGATCGAAGAGAAGAAGAACAGCAACTCTAGAAACAGAAAATCAACCACTTTCTGAAAGGTAGGACGGGCGGA